ACTTAATCACTTCTGTCTCACTATTGGATTTTGGGAAATTACTATATAATCACTACTCATTCCTTCACATTTATTATTGAATAACTACACAATGCTTACACATTTACTGCTGTATGCCTTCACAATCCCTATGGAATTACTACATCCTTCTGCGTATGTAGTGCTTTATCACTACTCATCACTATTGAATTACTTTTTATTTCTACACAAACCCTTTTGAATTACTACTGAAACTCTACATGATTATCACTTAATCACTTCTGTCTCACTATTGGATTTTGGGAAATTACTATATAATCACTACTCATTCCTTCACATTTATCATTGAATTACTACACAATGCTTACACATTTACGGCTGTATGCCTTCACAATCCCTATGGAATTACTACATCCTTCTGCATATGTAGTGTTTTATCACTACTCATCACTACTGAATTACTTTTATTTCTACACAAACCCTTTTGAATTACTACTGAAACCCTACATGATTACCACTTAATTACTTTTGTCTTACTATTAAGCAATGACTACATATAAACAACTCATTCCTTGACTCTTACTCTTAAATTACAACATTCTTACAATTTCTGATGATGAAACTGTCCCATTCATTACCATTTACCAGTTCAGTATCATGGTTCAGTTAGTATTCAGGTGAGACGTGAAACCAGGGTGTAAAATATCATACAATTTTATTGCAAATTATTACATACATTAATTACATTACATATTTGATCAGGAACATGTCTTGTGCCATTGAATGCACTTAAAAGAACAGCTAGACTACCCCCAAGGAACCCTCCTCCAACCAGAACTACGGAGTTGTCTCTTCGAACTTGTCATAACCAGACACCTGACTATCCTTAGTGACACACAAACAGTATCTCTATGGGCTTCTTCGGGTGTCTTGTGAATGCACTTAAGAACAGCTAGACTACCCCCTAGGAACTACCCCAACATGCACAAAAAGACCAGTTGGTTAACAAAAAAAAAAAAGGACTAGGACCCGCGCAAGCATAATCCTATGTGATATTACACGAGCGTAATCCATATACAATATGAATGAAACACTCTCGCAAGGCCACTGGAGCTCCATCCACCTGACAGACATGTAGATTATTTCTAACACTTGTCATTTTCTTAGATAAAGCACACAAACTATCACTGTTATGTAAATATCATGGTTAAACATACCACATGATGAACCACTCATCTCTGTGATGAACCAGAGCCATGCTCATGTTCAGAGTGGTTCCTCTGTAATGACAAAAAAGCAAAAAAAGAAGTGGATCAATTCACAACCTTATTTTTATTTCATGAAACATATTTACAAAGTTCAGTCTCTTACCTTACCTCCCCCACCACAATCACACGTGGAACCACCTTTGGCAGAGGCTTGGGAGACACCGGGCGCGACACCTGTGGCTTAGGTGCTGGTATCTCCAGGTGCTGTTTGGTGGCAGCCAACAGCGACTCCACGAGGATAGGCATCCCCATGTCGTCACTGGGGTGCACCTACAAACACAAAACAATGACAAAAAAAATTTAAATATTATTTTGAAAAATGTGACTTTTACTGTCAAACATACTATGTTGAATAATTTTCTATTTATGATATGAAAATAATATATTCTACTTACACCATCACAGCACCACAGCTTGCGGTTGTTTAGGGGGAAGCGGTCAGCTTGGTGAAAATATTTCACACCTTAAAAAAAAAAAGGAACAAGAAAAGAAACACAGTTTTTGAAAAACACATTTTAAAAAGGCAATGTCAACTTTCTTATTAGAAAACCAAAATGGGTATAATATTAGAAATTATATGTAAAATATATAATTCTCATAAGCCTTCATAAAACTGTTTAGAACCATGTATTATTATTTTCAAACATACCAAGACGTGTTGACACGCGGTGAAATTCATGCCGGAAAAACTCTTGGATATCCCCCGGGACTGTCAAGCATGGGACAAGGTCCCAGCGAAGACCTAAACAAAATAATAATGGTTAATGGCAAAATCATATTGACGTGTACACATCTGCCTCATTAAAAAGAATACATGAATAACCTACCTGTGCAGTCGGCCAGACGCTGCAGACAGTGGCCAGGTATTGGCCAAAAGCTATGCCTCCTTGCTTAGGCGTCTTGCTGGCTTTCAGGTTGTTTCTAGGGGCCATGACACAGACAGCATCAGAGATCCGAGGAAGATCAGCATTTTCATCCTCAGTCCTGAGCTTGTCAGTTCACGCCCCTGGAGTGGACATGACGCCAAAGGTGTAGCAATCCTCTGGCATCAGCACAATCCCATCTGCAAGGGAGTGCAGATGGGACGCCCCTACAAGAAGAACAAACTGGAACAAAAGACAGGATTTCTTTTAGGCTGAAAACACACAACTAAAACTTCTAATCATCAGTGAAATCTTCATGAATTGTACATACCTTCTTGCTTGGGACCTCATCTGGAATGACCAATTTATGCTGGCGCCCAGTGTGCTCAGAAATTGACCGTTTGTGCACTTTGTAGCACCACCCTGTGCCACAAGCTGTTGATGAACATAAAATGGTTTTAAAAAAAAAAAAGAGACCAAATTCAAAGTTCAAGCACTTCAATACAATATGTGAACTTTTCAAGACTATAAAAATACACAAAGTTAGGAGTTTAACTCAGTCATACAGAAGGATATACGTGAAAAGTTGATTTCAAGAAGGCACGCCACATACATGCACCAGCAACTTAGCTGCCTCAGAGCAGCGGTAGGACTTGCCACGGGGCATCTAAAAGTATTAAAGACCCAGTTATTAAGCATATTAAAATCAAACTGATAATTTACTAATGATTTGACATTTACAGCAGCTGACACAAACACACACACACACACACACACACACAACTGATACACTTTTTTGATTGACAAGGCCAAACAGTTTCACGACCACACTGCATTCTAACTTCTTCTTCAAATACTGTCTACTTGTATTATTAAATCAATTATGTTCACAAACACATAAAGCTTTAATTACATTGGAACATGCTTTCTTAAACACAGTAGGCTATATCACAGAGCACTGGACAAATGTAATTCATTTTCAGACATTAAACATGAGAAGATTATTTCAATTGGACATTCTCATTTCCCAGAGGACTCAGCTTAAGCATTAATGAGTGTTACACACCAGTAATATGAAGTTATTTACGTGTTTTGCAGTTAATTATAACATGGATCTGTTCATTCCTGCATGCGGAGGCAGATGAGCTTCGTTTCCTGCTAGATTGAGTGCGACTCATTCATCCAAACTTTGCAAACATGGTCGGGATTTGTAGAGGACATATGTATGTTGTTCACTATTAAATGTTGTTACTATAAATAAATGCATCTCTGTGCAGAGAGGGAAATATGAAAAAATGCTCCGTTCGACACCCCTCTCCCCTAAGTTACAACACATCACTCTCTGGCCGAGTCAGAGAACAATGGCGGCTAACTAGCCGTTACGCTAACTACCCGCTAAGTTACGATAGCTTACTAAGCTAAGCTAATGGCAAAACATTGCAATTTAATCACTGAATATTCCACAGTTTAAAAACAACCAGTGTGAGCTGACGCAACACCTAAAATACCGCACTCTCCCGCTGAGTCGAAGGATGCTGCTAGCCGCTTTGCTAACAAACGGCTACGCTAACGAACTGCTACGGTATCTTACTGAGCTGAGCTAGAGACAATACATTCCAATTGATATAATGTAGGTACACACCTATTTTATATAGCATACAAACCCACATATAATGTCAGAAGCACGAGCAACATTCACAAAATGACTATGCTACAAGCAATCTCCTCCACTTACCGTAATGACTGCCGTGTCCTTCGGTGAAGAGGGACAAACAATCACAACGCAGTGCCGGGGAACAAGGTGGAAGCTCCAAACGGAATGTCATTGGATAACATGATCCTTAGCTAAGCCCCGCTCCCTTGGTTACTGTTGCTATGTCTTTCAAGCATTCACTGCCAGCCATGCTCTATGCATAAGAACTACAGAGTATGCAGCAATATAGCATCGGTTTCAAAGTAAATATCAGAAATTTCTTGGAAAACTGTTAGGAGATATCAGAGACAAGCAGTCAAAAGATAAGACATTTTTGACTTGAGCATCTTAGTGATAAAGCCATCATCAATGGAGCTCCGATACTATGATTCACCACAACAACAGGGGAGAAATACACAGCTACGGTCATTAAAAGAATCACTGACAGAGTTAATGCGTAACTCATATTAAATGTAACATCACTTTCTTTTCATATTAGCCTTTGATAAAGTCATTAAATGTTGTTCAATGTTTTTAATAATTGGGTGAAAATGAAATTTAAAAACAGACCCATGATTGCTCCTCACTTTGGTTTTATTCATATTCCACATATTAAACAAAGTAAAAGTTTACTCAGTCGCTATTTCAGCTTGAGTAGCTTTTACCACCAACAGATGCTGATTACCACACATATAGTCTCCTAACATCCTGTTGAGTAGATGAACATGTGGAAAAAAGCACAGGTGGTGGTCACCTCCACCTCCACCACGTCTAACAAAAGGCAGAGAAGCTGGTCCTGAGTCAGGTCGCTGGATGACCAGAGCCTCAGGTCATCACTCACCCCCAGGTCCCCAGGGCCTAGAGGCTATTAATGTTACCCATAATGTTGCAGAAAATTAGAAACACAGACATGGAAAGGGAGTTGTTGACAAAACTAAAAAAATAAATGACTACTGATTGTTGTTTTTGTATCTGTAGAGTTCGTTAAATTACAAGGTGTGGAAATCACAAAATCAACGCCAACTTGAAAAATCTGAATCAAAATGGCCAACTTCCTGTTTGGAGCAGAGCATTGGTGGCGGAGACTTTTTTGTGCGTCTGGGCAACTTACACATATGTACAGATTTTCATCTTCCTACTCTCATCTCACTATAATTGTCAGGGCAGTGTTTCCTGACTAGTCCAACAGGAAAACAGTTGTCACATCTGACTGATTATAGCTCTACCTCCTCTTAGAGACTTAAACAATTGCTTTTTTTTATTTATCTACAAGGACTGCAGATAGGGCAGAGGACAGTCTGCCACTTTTATTTGGAAACTGTTATTATTTCTTTTTATTTGCTGAACACCATATTCTATTATTCAGATTAAAGACCCCAAAAGATATTTCTGTGTCCTGTGCTGGTTTAATTTCACCAGGCTACAACTGTTTTTGTAAATTGTGTGTGTGGTTGGATAATTATAAAGTAATAAATAATTTCAATTAAAAAATTTTGTTGTGTTTTCAGTTACTGTATTATATCACAAATATCCTTTAATGTTTTGAATTGTAAATGTATATGAATGATCAGTGGAATATCCCGAAATGAAATCCCTGAGAAATTACCTTTGCTTCTATATATAAAAAACAAAAAACAATTTTACAGTAGGCTCTCTATTCTGAACACTATGATACTTAAGATACACACAGAGCCTCATGAAAAACTACTGTTTGTATACACATCAAGTATGTATATTCAAGCACTAAAATCTAATTGATCACTATTTAAAATATGCAGTGCTGCTGTAGTGTTGTGACTACATATTTACTATACAAGCAAGTTGTAAAATCTTTACATAATCACTATTTAAATGCCTGTGTAATGAAGCAGTAGTGTTTTAACAGCTCTTTCGCTTGGTTACTACTGGAAACACTACTGTTTTACTACAAAACTCTACTGGTGTGTCATGAGTAGTGTATAAACTACAGATTTACTACACAATTACTACAGGTGACTACACAGCCACTACTACATGAATAGTTTTTGTGTAGTAATTTAATAGCAGTTTTTCACGAGTGTTTTGTTTAGTTTGTCTCAGAGGCTTCAGAGGGACTCCGCAGCTCCGCTCCGCTCAGCTGTCTGCTGCTGCTGCAAGAGATCAAATTTCATTGGGGGCGGGGAAAAGTGCAAGGGAGTCAGCAGTCATTCAGTTTGTTGCCCTAGTAACCCATTTCCACTGAAGAAGTTCCTGGTACTATTTGGGGGGCTGGAACTACTACAGGAACGTCCTCTCGCTCGGCCCTCTCACCCACCGTGTCTCCACAGAGAGAGCGGAGTCGGAGGAAGGTTCCTTGGTTTCCTTCTGCGTCTTCTTCTTGTGTAACCTTGTGTGTATTGGCGGTTAATACAGCATTACCGCCACCTAGAGGATTGGAAGCGCATTACACCTATAATGGGCTTTTATTGGGAAAAATAGCTCAAATGCGACCCCCAGTGGTAAAATTAGGTATATAATTCGATATATTGGTTCGGTTAGATATTTGGCTTTAAATCAAACCGGTTGGAAAATTTTCAAACCGGCACAAGCCTACTATCAACTGGGCACAAAAACGAGTCAGTATGCTGAGATCGCAGCAGTGCTCATCGCACTCCAACAGGCTGTCAAACTGACTATGACGCAACTGGTGATCTGCTCTGACTCGAATTATGCTCGTCACAGTTCATCTCTCACTTCCCCACGTGGAAGCAGAATGATATGAAGAATGTCCGAAACAAACAAGTCAAGCATTCGGAACTCTTTTTGGCATGCGATCGGCTCTTAACAGATTGGGGTATGGCCGTGTACTGGAAGAAGGTTAAGGGTCATTCCCAAGTCTCAGGTCCTGACAAGGATGGCAACAACGAAGCTGACCGCCTAGCCAAACTAGGGGCGGATCAAGGTACGCCCTGGGAGTTCCAGAATGATTGGCTCCCCGCTCTCCAGACTTGTGTCGTGAATGCCATCACCCGCCAACAGACAAAGGAGAGGCGAGGAGACTCTCAAACTGGCACGCAAACATTGCACTTAGGACAAAAACCAGGTGATGCAGACCTGGTCACCATGCAAGAGCAGGACCCTGCTCTTCACTCCATCAGACAGCTAGTGGCAAATCCTCCGGATGTAGCCCTGCAAACTCCACCGGACGGATCCAAAGAGCTGCAAGCTCTTCACCGTGCTCTGCCACACTTGAAGCTGGAAGAAGGATTGTTGGTTTACACCCACAACAGCCAGGGACCGACCCGCTAGGTTGTCCCAACTGACCAATAGGGGGGTGATGCTAACCCATGCTCACGACTCTCCTGTTGGTGGCCATCGGGGTTACAGAGCCACCCTCAAAATCCTCCAGCAAGTGGTATACTGGCCAACACTGGCCCGTGATACGAAGCTGTACGTCCAAGGATGTTTGGTCTGCTGCCAGTTCCAGCCCTCCCAACCACTGAATCGTGCCCCACTTCAGGAAAGGGGGGTTATGTTCCCGTGGTCCCACCTTCAGGTCGACTGGATTAGACCTGTTCCAAAGAATCCATCTCTGTGGAGGGAACGTGGTTCAAGAAATGCGAGGAGCAGAGTACCGGGTAGTCGACCTACACACACTCATTACAGCGGCACCCACCATCAATCGACCACCAATCTGGAATACAACTCTGAATCCAGCACCTATTCCAACTGTAGTCGCCCTTTTTTAGACGGCGAGAGAGCAGACGCAGCTCCACGACAAAGCAGCAGACCACGCAGCAGAGGAAGAAAGAATGCAGGCGAGGCAAGAGGCCCTCCCACCAGAGAGCCGTATGGGACACGCCAGGTACTCCAACACAGGAGGTACAGAATGTGATAAACTTGTCTTGCTAATCACTATCTGAAATACATGTTAATGCCCTAAGCAAAGGTTTATCCTTTGTCCCTACCACGCATTGCCAGGATTTTGACACTATGGTGGACTTTCATGAATTTTTTCGCTCTTTGAGGTTGAAGGAGTTTCTCAGTGCCCATGATAACCACCTTTCTCACTCTGTGAATACAACTGAAGGTGACAACACAGAGACCCCTCAAGATCCACCTACATCGCCAGCACAAGGAGACAGTGTTAACCCCAGACCTGTGACTGCAATGAGAACCCCCTTCAGAGGTAAAAGCAACTTCATCCCTCCTCCTAAAAGAAATGTCTCTTTAGATACATACTGCAGACTGGTTGAGAAAGATGTTTCACTTCTGCTTAGTAAGAAGAGAGAATACAAGGTGGCACATAATCTATCTGAAGAAGAGAGAGCTGAACTGAACCTTTTAAAAAAAGACAATTCTGTGGTCATTCAGAGTGTGGACAAAGGGGGTGCCATTGTCATCATGGATCGTGCAGCATATGATGGGGAAATACAGAGACAATTGAATAACACCACCTTCTATCGAAAATTGAACTGTAACCCCACACAAAATTTTAAACTGCGCATTCACAACAAGCTGGCCTCCTTTCTGGAAATGGGAGAAATTACCAAACATGAATACAACTTTATGGCAGTTGATTCTCCAGTCAACCCTGTTTTGTATATTCTACCCAAAATCCATAAAAACTACACCGTTTTCCCCCCCGGCCGGCCCATAGTTGCAGCCATTGGGTCTCTTACAGAAAATATATCGGCATTTGTTGACCATTTCCTCCAGCCATTGGTCACCTCCCTTCCTTCCTACATTAAAGACTCCATGGAGTTCATTAAAATGATTCAAACAATCGCTAGCAGCTGAGCTCTTTCTCAATCAACACTCTGACAGAATCCTCAGCACTAACTGTATCGTGGACCTGATTGAGACCGTCCTAACCTCTAACTATTTTCTCTTTGGCTCTGACTTTAATCTACAGGTGTCTGGTACAAGCATGGGAGCAAAAATGGCCCCGAGTTTCGCCTCCCTGCACTGTGGTAAACTTGAAAAGGAGATCAATCAGATCAATCATTCCTGCAAGCCTCACCTTCCGTTCATCACCAACTGGAGAAGGTATATAGATAATGTTTTTT